GGCCGGGCCCGGGCCGCCCGAAGGGAAGCTGGCCTGAGGCTGCCGCGGGGGAAAGGGGTGTGGGTGCCCGGGTCTCCTGTGCCCCCCTTGCCTGGGGGGGCGGGCGGCGGGGCGTGGGGCCGCTTGCCTCCCATGGGAGAGCCCCCCTCTGAGGGGCTGCGAAGGCCCGCGCCTACTCGTGTCGCTCTCCGCTTGAGTTGTTGAAGTAAAATGAATAAGCAAACTGCGACGTCTGCACGGGGTGGTGTCGCAAAGAGGTTAATAAAGTAAAACCACTTAATGTTCTCACCTTGTCTTTGGTTTGCCTGCGGTCAGCCCGCAGCCTCCGTCCCATGGGAGAGCCCCCCTCTGAGGGGCTGCGAAGGCCCGCGCCTACTCGTGTCGCTCTCCGCTTGAGTTGTTGAAGTAAAATGAATAAGCAAACTGCGACGTCTGCACGGGGTGGTGTCGCAAAGAGGTTAATAAAGTAAAACCACTTAATGTTCTCACCTTGTCTTTGGTTTGCCTGCGGTCAGCCCGCAGCCTCCGCCCCGCTGGTCCCAAGGACGGAAACGTGGCGCAGATGGAAAGCGGAGAAAGCAGAACGAGTCAGAATCGTCCGGTTTTGATGAAAACAAGTACAGGTCTTCTGACAACAGGCTGGACAGGTAGGCAGTGCTTCCAATAGAAACAACTCTCCGCTCTTTCGCTCCTCAGGAGCTGTTGAACTGACTGCTGTACTCAATTTTTCAAGCCCTAGCTATTTATATATCACTCGTTAACCATAAATAGCTGGTCTTAAAGGAGGGAAAAGAATCAAGTGCAGTGTTCCTGTTTTGGAGTCGCTTCTTAAGAAACAACATTTTTCATTCTTATGGCTTGAATTACATTCTTCATCATTTTCTGTCCTATTTCATGCTTGCTTACTGCCATTTATCATGAAGCAGGAACAGTACCAGCCGGTTATGTTTGTTTGTGGATATAGGCTGTGCGTACTGTTATGGTAAAGTTAAAAGTCATCTGCCTTCATATTTCTGAAGGCAGTACAGAGTCTTGAGAAGCTGTGTCTAACTATGCCAGCCCATGTGCGGCGGGGTCCTCTTCTGAGGTCACTTGCTCTGTTCATACTGCTGCTTTGCTCCCTTCCTTACCATTTCCCAGCAGAGGTAAACTTCAGTTTAGTGAAAGTGTCTTATTTTATATCGCTTTCTATGTCTGAGCCATTTATGTCATGGTCCCTTTAATCCCTTTTATCGGTGGGAGTTGTGGCCTGCAGCCCAGTTGATTGAATCGAGATTAGAAATCTAGTATGAGATGAGTTGTGCTCTATAACTACCCATTTTTCTTTGCTGATAATAAGTGGGGAAGACCTCGGTCAGCGTCTCAAAAGACAATGTCCAGAGTAAATGAAATTAATTTCAGGAAGCGTGTTTGAACAGGAGTGCAAAGATGAAACTTTACAGATTGCTTCATTGGTTTCAACCTAAATAGGCAATGCTTTTGTGTGTCTTCCAATATTGAACTGAACAGACATACATTCTGGTTTAGTTTGGATTCAGCTCTGGTTCAAGTTGTTCTCTTCCTGCACCAAAACTACTTTTTGTTTATGCCAATTCAACATTGTCAAAATAAAATCTTAAAATGGGAAGAGGCTCGGGATGGAGGCTGGGTCATACAACAGATTCAGTCGGGGCAGGGAGGGAAGTACAGCCTTGGTTTTCTGCACCTCTGGCAGAGTTTGAGCACCATTTACAGTCCTATCGCAGCACCAGAGCTTCTCACCAAGCATGAAATGGCATGTGGGGATGAGGGTCTGAAGAAAGACCGCTAAGCTTTGTATGTCTGGTGCCAGTACTGTCACAGAGCAAATTAATTGAGAGAAAAAGCTGTAGACCCTGCCACATTCTCCCTAATTCTCTGTGTACACAGCACAGGTATAGAATCAAACAAGTATAAAAAGGTATGACAGAGCATTGAGGAAAAAGCTCAGACGGTGGGAGTGACCATCTGCTTCTGGGATTGTGCTGTTCTCTGCCGTGGGAGAGCAGTAATTGAACATGGCCTGCCTTTTCTGCAAAATTAGAAATCAATATAAGCAAATGCTAAAAATCCTTGGAGGTTGGGCAAATATTTGCAGAGGCACCTCTACTGTTTGCTATGGATTTTTACTTTTTCTGAGTTGGTAACTGGGTTTCATCTAAAAAGAACTTTTAGTTTGAACTTAACAAAAACTTTAAAGTAGTGCAAGCTGATTTCTGAGCTGGGAGCAGGGAGGGAGTTGGAACTGGTTTTAGCACAGATGGATCTAATTCCCTGACTTAAGGGATGTCTTTGCGCAGAATCCTGGTAAGTCTCCAGAGCATTTCCAGATCTACTGAAAAAGCTCTGGTCTGTAGGATATGGTTTTGAGTTTGTACTTGAGGAAAATTGGTCATCAGGAGGACAGAAACTGGAAAACATACTCCATAATCTGTTGCTGTCTGGGAAGGGATATAAGCTTATTCCCCTGCAACACTGAATCTGCTCATGATGCTAATGGGCTACAATAAAGTTGTTCAATACCAATTTGCAAAGTCATAGAAAATCTTGGTTTACTAGCTAAAAGGGTTTTTTGTGCCTTTGCCTTCTCTAGCAGGTATATTTTTACATGGAGAAACTCCTAATGCTATCGTGTCTTTTTAATTAATTAGCTGTACGGTTGAATTCCGTGTCCTAACTTTTGGTTCTTAAATAGCTAATGAGTCTGCAATCATGAAAGAATAAATATTTGTTAACTCGTTTAGCGGAGTGAAAAAAAGTGAGTAAATGAGTAAAATTGGTGTTTCATATACTGTTTTCTGGTGAAGGACACCAGATTAAGTTACTGGAAGTGTAGGCTAGATTACATGCTACAGTGGTATGTTTCTATAGATAACTACATAAACTTTTTAAAAAAAAAAAAACCCAAACCACACGACCTCAAGGTGGAACTCTCAACTGATGCTTGATTTTACAACGGTGACATTTTAATAGAGCAATGCAAGATTTTCACAGCCATTGTGAGTACTATAATTTAATATATTAAATAGCTATCAAACAGTGAATGGGGGAGATGCTGGGGGTGGGAAATACAATAGAATAAAATTTTAATGTAGAGTCTTTTCTTTATTTCTAGTTTTACAACACCAGAAGGCCCTGGACCCCTTTCCCGGTGTTCAGATTGGGGAACTGCAGTGGAAGAAGATGAAATGAGGACCAATGTTAACAAAGAAATTGCAAGGTACCCATGGCTGTTTAAGATGAAGCGGGGAAAGGAGAGGAAATGGTAGTTGTCTTGTAACTTCACCATTGCAGTAAAATCAGCCCAACCTTAGCTTCCTGTCTGCTGCTTTTAGGTCAGTTTTGGCTGAAGTCCTGCAGGAATGACACAGCGTACTGTCTGGAGAGTTGATGTGTATCACTATCTCCCTTTTGGAAGAAACCTTTCCTGAATCTATTAAATTGAATTACTTTGATTGTCTTTTCACTAATTCCTGGTTTTGCCTATCATTGCTATAAAAAAATTTTTAGGGAAAAGACTTAGGAAAAGAAAGTTCTCAGGTTTTATTTTTTTTTTTTTTTTAGAGGTAAACTGAAACATTCATTCCAGAGTGGAAAGCTGTTTACAGTGTCTGGGTTGACTTTAAGACTGCCGCTTAGCTGGGAAGTAAAATCAACTGGGAGCTGTGACAGTGCAGCCTTACATGTTCTGCATATGTCTATTCTTAATACTGATTTTTGAACTCTTACAGATACAGAAGGAAACTGCTGATAAATGAATTTTCAAGAGAAAGGAAGTCCTCCTCTGGAAGGTAGGTTAAATTTCTAGCTTAGCTGAGGAAAATCCTGACAATAGGTCTGAACTTTCACATGTACCATGTTGCTTCTGAAAATGATCAGTTCAAAAGAATTCATCTTAAGTCTGCTCTAATGTCGTAGATCAGTAACATCCCAAGCATTCATTTAAAAAGTTTTAACATGTTTCTTTATAATCTTCTACATGTGGTTTTGGTTTTGAGTATTGTTTGTTTTCTAGTAGTCCCAAATCTACGATGTTTTTTCTTTAGTTCCGATTCAAAGGAGTCCACTGTGACTGTAGAACTTGAGACAGATGAAGTGGTTTTGATGAGAAGACAAAAACAGATAAACTATGGAAAAAACACAATTGCCTATGATAGATACATTAAAGAAGTTCCTAGGTAAGTTGCTTTTGTTTCTGGAAAATTAAATGTTCGATTGTAAGTCATACCTGTTCTTTATGAGCATATTAATGCACTAAACTCGGTATTTGAGACATATTCAAATAGAAAGCACCTACAAATTAAACTTTGAGATGTTTTTTAACAGGTAAGTGACACTAACAATCAAATGAGACGTGGATTACTTTTTTACTAGTCAGCACATGAGGAATATCCCTTCAGACTTTCTCATGCTGCAGAAATGGAAGTGAAAGTTCTTTTGGTTTTGCTTGTCAACTAGAAGAAATGAAACTGCTTTTTGCAGACAATTTTCTCATTAGTAAACTAAAAGACAACATGGACTACAGTTGCACTTAAGCTTAGAATATGTTACATTCAGAAATTTCATACTGAAGTTTTCAGACCTATGATTGATAATCCATGGTGTTTTTTCATTTGACTCTACAGAAAAACGAAAACGTTCACATGGAGCTGACAGCTTTTCACTTGAGTGCTGGAATTGTGCAGTAGTGTTTTCTCAAATAATATAATCACTTAGAATTTGCTGCATTGTAATGAGTGTGTAGCAGGCAATCAGTCTTAACTTTTAAAACTGTTATGTCTGTGTGAAAAACACTAATGAATTTTTCATGTCTAATATCTGAATAGATGCCATCGTATACCAGGAGTTCATCCCAGAACTCCAAATAAATTTAAGAAGTACAGCCGTAGGTCATGGGACCAGCAAATTAAACTATGGAAAGTTGCGCTGCATTCCTGGGATCCACCTACTGAAGAAGGATGTGATCTACAAGAAATGTATGTATACGGTATTCCAGATACCTTTATAGAAAATAATATATAAAATCTTACGTTTTAAAAAAAAAAAAAAACCAAACCAAAACCAAATCCACAAACTAGCATACCCCTTTTTTGAGACAAGTTGGTGATTGCTGAATATTTTCATTAGCTACTTTCATTAGTGATATTTAGTTCCTTCTCTGTCAAAATATGTAATAGCTTTCTGGACCTAGTTGGTGGGACTAGACTTACTCCATGTCCTTGCAAGGGCATACATATATATCCCTCGCTTCTTTAATGTATGTCCACTGGGCAAAATCAGAACTCATTCTGCAGTGCTCTCTAAAAGAAAATGCCACACCATCGAGGCAAGCTAATTGTTTCAGAGCTGTCTGCAGGTTAATCTGTGGTAGAAGCAGTGCTGGAGAGTTCTTTCAAATTAACACATCTCATGAATATTGAGCTTGGACCAATACAATGCACAAGAACCTGCCTCACAGTCTTCTCGCTTGCTAGTTCAAGAACAGTCTCATAAATTCTTGTTTCTTGAGCAGAGAGAAGGAAAGAAGTACTTGTAAAATCATCTCAAGGTACTGTTAGATTAAAAGCATGGCCACGAGTGTTTACAGCCTAAGCAATCGTGGTATTCTCCTCTAGAAGATGTAGTGTAATACAGCTAGTTATTTTGCTCTATAGAAAGCAATAAAGCTGATCAGGGAACATCCAAATTAAAGCTGGGACTAGAGAGGGAAGGGGACACAGATGTAACTAATTCCTCAGGAAACAGTTTTGCAGTAATAAACTACTGTTTTTCCCTAACAGTGATACTGATTTTTAAACCTGATATGGAGCAATGGGATTCAAAAGCAAAGGCTTACTTTTAGCTTCCTTTTACTTGTAATTGACATGAGGGGAGGTGGCATTTTGGCCTGAAGCCTGCTGTATATGTTGGTGTTGAAATACTAGTCTGTCTTCAGATGCTGGGGCCTAGTTCTGTGTATAGTGAATATTAAATCTTATGTTGCAAAACAAATTGATGAAAACCTTGTCTGGAAAAAAAATATTCCTTGCTTTTCCATAACATCTGTCATTGTTTGTATCAAGGCATTGTTTGAGTGTTGGGCATTTGTCTTTGACAAGTTGCAGTATTCAGTCTCAAGGCTTTAACTTAGTCGCTGGCCGTTTTGGCTGTGTTGAGTTGACCTGCTGCTCTGTTTGGTCTCTGCAGTTGCTGCCACTGTCCCTATAATCTCTGTAGGTGTCTCTGCTCTTGGTCGGCCATCATTTTCACAACTGCACCTACAAAGTGTAACTTACTCCTAAAAAAACTGAATTTGTTTTAAGCTGTATGCTTTTTAATTATTTTACAGTAGTCCTGTTGACCTTGGTGAGATGGAGACAGAATCTGTCGGAAGCAATTCTACTGAATCTCAAACAAGCTGTCAAGATAATGATGTAAGCATATCTGTCATTTGCTTAAATTTATTTGTTAATAATTGGTCCGTTACTTGGAATTGGATCGAGTAGGCTGAATACATGAGAAATTCCATCATCTGCTGTGTTTAGGGACTGTTTATAAAGCTGAGCCTTCTTTGAATTGAGACATTTTCCCAGCTATAGCCAGCATCTGTCTGCAGCCTGAGTTCAGAGAGTTGGAACTTAAGTGACCATCTCAAATGACAGATATCTCACTTTTCATAGCCTGTAAAAGAAAATGTGGCTGTTCAAAGCATGCCAGTTATGAACTGTGATTTACAGTGAAAATACTACTTTAGATTGCAATACCTAATGTTGAAATAGACTGTAATTGTCTTGGCACACTCAGACTTTGAAGTAGGCTCTTTTTACATCTAGAAAGCATTTAGTACAGCTGAGCAGTAACCTTCAGTAAAGATCTAGCAATGTTTTTCTTCCTGGAGTTGTTTCTCTGGTGAATATTGAATCTGTGTAATGTTCAAATGAATGCATATATAGATCCTTAAAACATTTCTTGGAAATCTTAGAATGTGGTTGAATGGGCAGAAGCCTTCATTGAAATCTCTTAAATCTTAAGGACTAGTCTTGGGTTTTTGTACAGCCTGTGAAGTGTTTGTAAGCCTCTCTTATAGGGTGGTCTAAACAAATTACAGAAGCTTAAATGAATTATTGCATAACTAAGCCTGTATTTAACTGGTCTTTATTAACTGACTTTGTATTCCAGGATACCTGTTCTGGCACTCCCACCAAAGTTAGACATGTTGACTATCAAGGAGAAGGTACATTTGACTTGGAAGCGTGTTTGAGTGAACCACTTAAAGATTTCGATACTGTGAGTTAAACAGTCTTGTGCAAACTGTTTTAGTGGAAGTTTCTTTTAAATGTGAGAGATTAGCTTGATTCATAAACTTCTAATAGTAAGAAAGCTTAAGGAAAGTTGAAGACTGTTCTCTAAGTTGTGGTTGGTCTGCATATTCTCAGGACCAAACTTATGTGAAAATACAGTTAAGTTGTGTGACTTCTTCTTTTTAACTTTTAATTTATGTATATCAGATTTTTTTATAAAACCTTTCAATAGAATGGAATAGCCAAAGGCAATGCTATCCTGAAGTAATTATAAATTGTTCAGCAAGATCTTACTGGGTTTTTTTTCTTCATGTGTCTATAATTTCAGTTGTCTACCTGCAGATCAAGAGCAAAGTAGGGAGAGGTTTTTGAGCATCTGTATGTTGCCTTGCTTTTCCATCTGACTTTACTACAAGGATCTGACTTGGAAGTAATACCAAAAAAGTAAAACAAAGGCAGATTCTTTTTTATTTGCAAAAATGTTTGTGATTGGAAATTAAATACTCTCAAAAATTGGAGGTCAGTATGGTAAAGCCCAGGCAATAATGCCTTAAGAAGCAGTAGCCTGAATTTGAAATTTGTAAATAGTCATGAGTCATATATTAATGCAGTCAAGAAAACAATGTGAGGTAAAGTGCTTGATTCCTTTTAATTTGCTGGTTTTTAAATGTAAAACTGTTGTAAATTATAACACTGTACAGATTTTCTGCTGAAAGCAGTTAATGTTTCCATTACTTTTGTATGGGATATTGCTGGAAAATAAATGGAATTACATTTACTTACGACTCTTCAACTTCATTTCCTACTAGTGGTATTCTGGGAATAACAAAATGCAGGAAAGTACTGAAAGCCATGTATCTGAGACTGATGCTAGTATATGTGTGTGTTAGCACCTTCCTCTGAGGTAGACCTTAAAAACTATTTGTGTGCAGGCCACTGGGGTGAATTTAAGACTTAGTTGTAATGGGTAAGCCTGTTGTTGACCTTTTGCAGATTCCTTGGAAGCAGATCTTCAGTAGATGTCCATTATCTGGTTACCAAGTTCTCTAGAAGAACTGCTAGAAGAGCTTGGTGGATACTTCAATCTTGTTTACTATACAGGACCTTTTGTTAAAGTCACCTCACCTGTTTTTTTTCTCTAAAATGGAATTTCTGGGTGTTGGTGTTACAGGCTCAATGCAGACACTTCAACTTTTCAACTTGAGTATCCTAGCTGTAAGCAATATTATTAACCATCCAATTTGTTGGGCACTCTCAAAATCTGGTAGCTTGATATGATGGGGAAACTTCCAAGAGGAAGCAGTGGCGTAGGGATAAGGATGGAGCTACGCTCTGGTGTTAAGGAGACTGCCTTCCTAGCATGTATTTTTTCCAGAGAAGGGAGCAAAGTCATAGCCCTCTCTGCCCTCCCCAGATTGCTTTTCTGATGGCACATTTTCTGACCACGTTGTCCCTGGTTGTTCTACAGTGTTTTTGTGTAATACCTAATTGTAGCTTGAGCCACAATTTGTTTTGGAGCTTTTTTCCTGTATCCCCTTCAATAAAAATGGTCTTAAGGTCAAGCCAAACTCTTCCATGTCTAACCAGAATCATATGATGCCTTTACTTAAGGCTTCTATATAAAGGCTAAAAGTGGTTTAAACTAAACTTCCCAGGTAGTACAGTAACTGTTCTGAGTGTCTCAGTTTTTAACTTTGATGATAGGCCCAACAGACAATTGCATATGAAGCTATTTGAGAACACTATTTCAAGTCGTGGCTGCTTACTGCTAGGGTTTTTAATGGCTAATGCATCTAATTTGAGTCAGCCACTTAAAGCTCAACGCGGTTGTGTCTGTGCCACTTGACCAACAGTAACTGATAGTAGTAAGCTGTTTTCATAAGAGTGGTTTTTTGAGGATACGTGTGTTACTTTTGAATGTTTTAAAGGTTAGTAGTGAGTAGCATGAAGCAAAGAACAAAACCATTCATGTCTTAAAAAAGCTACGAATAGTTCATGCAGCTGAACACCAGCCTAGAATAAAGTATTAGTGTTAAATGATGTGTCTCTACCCAGTGTGAAATGAGTACGGCGAGATTTTTGTAGAAAACTGCATATTGCATACCTGGAAACCAGTATTCTGTGTCAACTTGATTCTGTCTTCATAACCTTGAAGCGCAGGTTAGTAGCTGACACTTAGGTGTGTCACCGTTTGCATGTTATCGGGAGTCACCAGGTGCTTGGGCTGCTTACACACTTGCTGTAGCGAGGCGTAATACCCAAACTGTCCAGTTTGGTGGCGTTACACTGGAACGGCTATGCAGTGAGTTAGGTGATCAGTGAACTGGCCTTCTAGTCATGCTATTCCTCACCTCAGGGTACATCTAAATTTTGCACATATAAAGTGGCAGAACTTTTCAAGGGCACACCAGGCTGATGAGGATATCTTAAATGAACTTAAGTCTTGATGTACTAACAGATAGACGTAATCTGCTCTCCTGAGGAACACCAGCCATAAAATGCCACCTTGAATAATCCCGGAGTGAATCAGTACCTTTAATCCTTTATGTGGATTGGACTCCCTATTCTGGAAGAGAAACAAGTAGATGAGATTTTTTTTTAAGAGCGGGCAGGGGGTAGTGGCGTATTAATCTGTACCTGAGTATCAGAACAGCCAGTAGAATGATTTCTTTTTTTTTTTTTTTGAGAAGTTTTTCTACACCACTGTAGCTAGCCACACAGGTTGGATCAGTGGGATGTTCAGAAGATTGTTTAGAGGCTTCCAAAGGGTGAGGTTACTTACATCTGTTTTCTTAGTAAGAATATTGAACCCAATAAATGTCCACTGAGACAGCTAAAGGAAATGTATGCATTTCAGAGCTTATTGTACAATAATTTGTTACTCTGCTAGTCTGAAAAATGTCCATGTCTGAAAATCACTATTTATTAGGTTTTTTTCCATAACTTCACAAAAAATATTCCAGAAAGCATCAAGGCATGGTAACTGAGACTGTTAATACTGTTCTTAGTGAGAAGATAATACATGAGCAAATACTATAAAAAAGAAGAAGAAAAAAAAGCCTTCCACAATGTTTTTAAGTAATTTGGGTTCTTAAGACAGTCCTTAGGATTTTATGACTTGTGTTCTTTGGAATCTGTATTGGAGGAGGAAACATAGGAGACTTTCTCTGACTAAAAGATCCAGGTATGAAGGAATGTGAGGAAAACATTGTGAAGAACCATAATACCTATGCAGCGTTGAAAGGTAACGGGCAAAGAACTGAGACTAGTACTTTTCTGTTATGATGGAATGTACAACAAATACTTCTACTTTGGCAAACAGAGTAAGCTCTCAGTGGTTAGTCCATAAATTTACATATAATTCGAGACAAAGCTAACTAACCTGCTACTACTCGACCAAGACTTTCAGCACAGGCCTTGGGGTACGATCACCTCGCTCTCAGCGTTGTGTGCAACCTGCCCTCTGAGCAACGCTCCCTGAGCATTGCACTTGCATACAAAACTGCCTGCCCTGTTGAGATTAACGTTGCTTTTCACTGTGCTTGTACTCAGTTCCATCTACATTCCGTCCTTTCGCCTTTCAGAGCTATGCTGTGTCCCTTCTGCTTCAGAATGTAAGCTCCTGTGTGACTGTTCCTTTTTCTGTGCGAATTTATCCCTTGTTTTCTTTTCCTCTAGCATACAGGTAATGTAATTCTGCTGGCTTCGTTAAAAGCAAACCTTAGGGTGCTGTTCAGCTCTTCAGGCCTGTGCTTTTTTTTGAAATGTGTTGGTAAAACACATCAGCCTAGAAATGTAGCTGGTCCATGTTCAGTAGCTGTTTGTGAAACCGGCTCAGATTTTTGAATTTATCCTGAAACAGCCGGGCATCCACAGTAGCATCTTTAATCCTACAAATTATTCCCCTTTGCTTCAACTACTTAGAGAACTTGGTTTTTATGGATTGCATTTAAAGAGAGCGCTCACGTTGTCAGAGTTTGGATGTTTTTTTTCAAAGCTGCTGAACACTGAATTGGAAAAAAAACCCTTTTTTGCAATAGAATAAAGCCCTCTAGTGGTTAAGTGTGGGATAATCTATCCATTTAGGTTAATGGCTGGTAATAGACTAATCTTACGGAGAAATAACATCTGTGTGTTAGTTGTGCATAGCTGCATACAGTGGAGTTTGCTTCAGATAGAGAACTGGCAAGTACCGATGTCAAACTTCAGACTTACTTGGTTAAATTCCCTTTAAAATAAAAAAGATCAGGTTGTTACATAGACAGCAGAACCTGTCAACCCTGCTTTTTATAGATTTCAGGATGTTATCCACAGTTAATTATTTTCAGAATATTCCTAAACACTGAATCTGTTCCATGAATCCATTTTTAAGTCAAAAATACCATTCAAACAACATTTTCTTAATGTGTGTGTGTATTAAGTTATTTTCAGGATTATCTGCTCCGTTGTGTTGCTATTGCAGATAAAACCCCTGGTACAGAGGCAAGGCGTACAGAGAGCAGCCGTGTATGCCTGAGTACGGATCTCTGGAAGTCTGCTGGGGGGGACGAAGCGTTTGTCCAAATTAGACTGGTAAAAAAGCCCTTTTAAAAGAATTTTGAACTTACTAGAAGTTCTTACTCTTCTGTGTTTTCTTCTATATTTTCTCAAAATGTGAGAGGATCGGTTAATAACTCTTTAAGAATAACTTTTCGAGTGCTTCCTGACAAATAGGGATAATTTCAGCAAAATATTATATAAATAGTTAAGAGAATGAAGTTACTCTGGGAAGTGTCAAAAATCCATTTTCTTTTCACAGAAAACTCTGACTAGGATGTAGTGTATGTGATAAATTGGTGAGGTGAGAAAAAGCAGTATTGCTGAGCAGAATTTGTTCTATACTTGCACAGTATTTAATTTTGTGGCATCTGGGTAGTATGTAAATACAGAACGCGCAAGGAATCAAGATCTGGCATCTGTCGCTTCTGGCCTCCGCTGAATTTTTGGATTACCAGTGCTATTCACTCTTTTCACTTGCCTCTTACCTCCCTTGGATTGTGTTTAAGCACAAGAGCAAACTAATTTATCCAGAAAGTGCTGATTCGTACACTTGAGAAATAACTTAGTTTTAAGTTGGAACTTACTTTGTGGGTTAAACTGGGGTTCAACTGCCTACGCTGGCAGCTTTCTATCTATTCAAGTTTCTATTGAGAAAGTTCCTGGGAGGTTCTGGAATGGCTCTAATTATTGGCAAAAACAATGTTCCCTTTTGTGTATTTCTTTAGAAAGGGGTTACTCCATTTCTTCTGAAAAATGTTTTGTTTTCAGAAATATGAGTGCGATATAGAGACGAAGATTTGCGCCTGCTCTTCCAGTCAGCTCTCATGTGCTAGAATCAAAGTCACTTTGCAGCACTGCAGAGGGCAGTAAAAGTGCATGTTTAATTACATGCACACAAAAGAGATCTCGGAGTTGCTTTACATTTGTTGTAAATGCTGGGAATCTAATTATACTTACTGATTCTGACCTTAGGAGCAACCCATAGTTCCAATAAAATCCCTTCAGGTCTGTCATCTTTCACTGTGCTTTCCACTTCCAGTTTCACTTGATCTTAAGCCCATTATTACAGGGAAAGGAAGATAATAGTAACTTAACAGCAGACAGAGAAAAAAAATGGACTTCGGGGAGGAAAAAAGTCCTGACAGACAGTACTAGCCTGCTTGCATT